CATTTCAGAGAGTCTTTCTGATGATTCTTGTTTCTCTCTCTCAAGCTGCAATTCCAGTTCATTTCTCTGGGTCTGTAAGGAATCCAACTCCTGCTTCAAATGTTTAACCTGCACCTCTAGGGCTGTTAACTGTGAAGAAGCTTCATTCTCTGCGCTTACATGTTTCTCCTGGAGAGCAGTGAACTCAAGCCCTCTTTCTGCCAATGTTTTCTCAAATTCAAGGATTCGATCCTCTAAGTCCAGCTTTTTCTCCCTTAACTGACCATTCTCCAATTTCTGATTCTCCATTTCAGAGAGTCTTTCTGATGATTCTTGTTTCTTCCTCTCAAGCTGCAATTCCAGTTCATTTCTCTGGGTCTGTAAGGAATCCAGCTCCTGCTTCAAATGTTTAACCTGCACCTCTAGGGCTGTTAACTGTGAAGAAGCTTCATTCTCTGCGCTTACATGTTTCTCCTGGAGAGCAGTGAACTCAAGCCCTCTTTCTGCCAATGTTTTCTCAAATTCAAGGATTCGATCCTCTAAGTCCAGCTTTTTCTCCCTTAACTGACCATTCTCCAATTTCTGATTCTCCATTTCAGAGAGTCTTCTATGATGATTCTTGTTTCTCCTCTCAAGCTGCAATTCCAGTTCATTTCTCTGGGTCTGTAAGGAATCCAGCTCCTGCTTCAAATTTTTAACCTGCACCTCTAAGGCTGTTAACCGTGAAGAAGCTTCATTCTCTACGTTTACATGTTTTTCCTGGAGAGCAGTGAACTCAAGCCCTCTTTCTGCCAATGTTTTCTCTAATTCAAAAATTTGACCCTGTAACCCCACCTTTTCCTCCCTTAACTGACCATTCTCCAATTTCTGATTCTCCATTTCAGAGATTCTTTCTAATGATTCTTGTTTCTCTCTCTCAAGCTGCAACTCCAGTTCATTTCTCTGGGTCCGTAAGGAATCCAACTCCTGCTGCAAATTGTTAACCTGATCCTCTAGGGCTATTAACTGGGAAGAAGCTTCATTCTCTGCAGTTGCATGTTTTTCCTGGAGATCAGTGAACTCAAGCCCTCTTTCTGCCAATTTTTTCTCTAATTCAAAGATTTGACCCTGCAACCCCACCTTTTCCTCCCTTAACTCATTCTCTGCACTTGCATGTTTTTCCTGGAGAGCAGTGAACTCAAGCCCTGTTTCTGCCAATTTTTTCTCTAATTCAAAGATTTGACCCCGTAATGCCACCTTTTCCTCTCTCAACTGACCGTTCTCTTCAATTTTAGTTTCTAACTCCTGTTCCAGTTCGCCTTTGTGATTCTTTAGAGAATTGACCTCAAATTCTAGATCCTTCCTTTGTGCCACCAAACCTTCTTTCTCCTGCAGAACTCTCTGTTGATCCTCGGTCTTTCTTACTATTTCTTCTTTTGCCTTTTCTATCGCAATTGCATAATCTGAAATAGCATGAGTTTTTCTCTCAAGCTGCATTTCCAGTTCTGCTTTCTGGCTATGCAAAAATTCCAGCTCCTGCTGCAATCTATTTATCTGATCCATTAAGCTCTTAACTTGATTTGATGCTTCATCACTTTTAAATACTATATGTTCTTCCAACTGAGATTTCTGGGTGCGTACAGAGTCCATGTCAACTAGCAGATTGTTGATCTGCACTGTCAAATTCTCTACTCTAGATAATGATTCTTTCTCATTATCCTCAAATTTCTTTGTGAGAATCAAAAGCTCATCTTCTCTCTTTTTTGACATCATTTCAAGTTCTGAAATTTGGGATTGCAATCCTCTGTTTTGCTCTCCCACCTGTATTACTTCAGCTGCTTTGTTCTCTATCTGCACCTCCAAATCTCTGTTTGTTGCTCGCAATGATGCCAACTCCAGCTCTAAGCTTGTCACTTGTGCCTCTAATTCTTTTATCTGAGCAGATGATTGATTCCCATGCACCTCATGCAACTCTTTGAGAGTCAAAAGTTCCCTTTCTTTCTCACCAATTTCATCTTTCGACTGGCTCATGTCAGCCATGAGCTGTTGTATTGTGCCCTGTGCCTGCTGAATCTCATTTGAAACCTTGGAAAGTTCTGAGTTCAGGGATTTATTATCTGCCACGGTAGCATTCAGACTGTGGCTCAATTCTGAAACTTGTTGTTCTGCAGATTCCAGCTGCTGCTGCACATTGGAAACTTCTCCTCTAACACTCTCTACCTCTTGTTTCAGAGTTATATTTTCCTCTTTCAGCTGATCAACTTCTCTTCTAAGATCTTCTGTAAACTTCTCTCCGTCTTCAATTCTTTTAACAGCAGTCTCTTTCTCTAGAATTAAGTTATCTTTTTCTCTATTCAGATCTTCCAATCTTTGATTCACCTCAGCTTCCATCTTACCAGCAGTGTCCAGTTTAAGCCTCAGCTCTTCATTCTCAGCCACAAGTTTTGATTTTTCACTCTCTGATCTTTCAGATTCAAGCTTCAGATTTCTGACGATTTCCTCTGCTTCTTGCAGCTTGCTTAAAGAAGCTAGATTCTCTGAATGTAAAGCATCTTTTTCTTCATTTGTGGCTGTCAGCTTCCTCTTCAGGTCCGCGATTTCCATTTTTGCCATTTCAAGTTCTTGTTTAATGCCTTCTGCTATTTTCTGAAATTCACTTTCCAATTGTCCATTTTTACCGCCTCCATCCTTTGAAGAATAATCAGACTCTGAATCCGAACTTGAAGAAGAGGAGGCATCTTTTTCTCGTTTGCCATGAACTTTTTTCCTCAGCTCTCCCGTGAGATGATCATATTGTGCATAGAGATTTTGGTAGTGTTTGTGGAAATCCTCAATTAACTGGACAAGTGGTTCCTTCTTGGAGTTAGCTATTGAGATCCCATCATTTTCTTCGACTTCTTCATCCTTGATGAGCTTCAATATTTTTGTCACCTTGTCATCAATTTCTGCGTGAAGAGAATTTAGGCTTGAGATTAAAACAAAAGAAGCAAATCATAAGTGGAACATCATGTTAAGCTGATTGTGGCATTTCAGAACATCCACCAAAGTTATCAGTAAAATGGCATTGCACAAAAAAAAACCATAAAATGTAGAAAATTACCTATTTTACTTCCTTTAAGCTGTTCATCTTTTTCTGGATCAACATGGTGCCCAAAAAAGGACTTTATAGACTCCCTAAAACGACGCTTGGTCATCTCTTAGTCAGATTACCAACTAATTTTGCTCAACAAATGTGCATGAAGACAAGGCAATCTCCATCTCAAGCAAAAAATCTGAAAAGCAGAATTAAGGATACCTCGTAATTAGTTTCAAACCATGTCAGCCAGAAACTCTATAACATACTCCTAACACAGACTGATTGATTGCAAAAGTATGTAATCTCCTGAGGACCTTAAACCATTGAATATCCAATTAAATACTTAATTAAAATAGTTTAACCAAAGAATTCTGGTATCATAACAACTAGCAAACTGATGGCCTTGTCAGAAGCAAATTATCTATTAACAATGGTATTGTTTGGACGGAGGCGCATCTTCATTGCTAGAGAAAACACTCAAAATGCTACAAACTCCTAATGAATATGAGAAATATGTTGCATACGTACTTAAACGGCAGTGGTGGATCACTTCTAAAAATCAATTTGTTTTAAATTGGAAATGAAAGTGGTCGTCAGGCATTCCATCATGTTGTTCTGTACAGGATGTCCTCCTTAAGAAACAGTTCTTCTCAAGATATATATTCGGCACTAGAATTTATAAAGTATGCCAAGTTTCATTTGCAAATTTTGGACCCATTTGAAACAGGATTTAAATTACCAAATCCAATGTATTGCACTAATCCGACCCAACTATCCATCATACAAATTCCAACTGAAATCTAAACAACCAAGAACGAACAGCAACAAGAATCCACGACATGGGTACATTTGTTTTCCTTTTTTTTTCAAGATTGCTACATATTCACACCGATAAGTGTACATTGCATCCTATGATCTCCATTGCTCAATACCTAACATTTCTTCCTTTTTCACCTACTGTGCATTAAGTTTCAATAAATGCTCTGATTCATGACCCACTCCAACAAAGCCATAGCCGTTAAATCTACAGCTATAATGGGCCCAAACCCACTCCCCTACATTCAAAAATTAGTTCCATTACCACGAAGAACAAAGACGCAAACTACAGCAAAACAGAAAATTGTACTTCTGTTAAATATTAGTACTACTTTCAAATCTCAAAGAAACAATAAACAAACCAAATCGTTTCATTAAATAAACAAACAAACCAATCAAATCCGGCCTGCCACGTTTTGATAATCCAGTTCAAAATGACAAAATCTAAGAGCAACAATCTTTTTTCAAGTTAAAACGGTGGAGACGGGAACTTGGGATCTAATATAAGCGTTTATAGATTTATCAAATAACTAATAAATATGACCATGATTCTAAGAACATAATCCGTAATAGAACATGGGTCCACATAATCGATGCATGCATCAGCATTGCTTTTGACTAAATTAATGTTAAGCATAATAAGCAAGATTAATGATTTGATTAGATTACCAAAAAGAAATACAGCCAAAAAGGCGTAAAGATTTTTCAGGAAGCACTTGTCAGCAAAGTGGCAGATATGATTCTAGTCTGGCGCCACCTCATAATCACATTCACCGGGGAAGGGAATCACCCACCCACGGATAGAGAAGCTGATTTGGAACTATAAAAGACAGCTATTATTTGGAAAAAGGTGAGCTGTTCTTTTTGTTCAGACCACAGAAGGCAAGGCCCAGTCAATTATCACTCAATTACCAAAAAGTTTTTACGCATGAAAAAGAAATACTTATAAAGAAAATAGAAAAGAAAGAAGAAAAGAAGCTGTAAGTAATACTAAAAACTTTTGACATAATAAAGTAAAACAAATAAATCAGCAGTAAAGGATGAGCAGGAGGAGTAGTAATTTGGCATTATTCACCTGAGACTTTCTCTTCACTTTCCTTTCTCAATCGTGCTTCGGAAGCTTTGCTAAGTTTCTGCAGAAACAAATAGTTTCTTTCTTCTGTTCAAATCAAAACAGTTACATACGGAATTTAAGATAAACAATCTAATCGAAAACGATGTAAACAACAAGTTCCTAACGAAGAAGAAGAAGAAGAAGAAGAACATGATTGACTTGAACTGGAAATCATGATCTTAATAAAATTTTCATCTTAAATCATTTTGAATTCTGGAGTCGGCAGTCATCCATGTAAAACCAAACGTTCAAGGAAGCAAAAACGAAAAGGATCTAAGTCAATCTTATGCTTGAGAAAATAAGTAAATCAAACATCAAATTATTTTTACAGAATCATGAACAAGAACAAGAAATAAAAAAAAAAACGAGAGAGATAAATCAACTAAATTCGACTATCAAAACTGCAGTTACTGAAGTTCTTGTTTAAAGATCAAAGGTATTGATCGAAACAGAAGTTGAAGCAATCAGAAGAAGAATTTCAAGTGATAATTAATCAGTTGAGAATCAAAGATTACCTCGAAGCTTGATTAAGAAGAAGAATCTTAAAAGCAGAGGAGAAGAAAAGAATGAAACTCAGAGAGAGAGAAAGTGTTGTGTGTTTCGAATTCCTTTTGAGAAATGAAACGCGCAGTACATTATAATAAAGAATAAACAGAGAAAGCGATTTGGTTTATAATAGTTCCCTTTCTTTAGAATTTTGTAGCTTTTCAATTCTCAGGAGATGGAATCCTTGGAGCTTTCTATCACACTAACTGCCCTCGCCTTTGTTATTTAATTGCAGTCATGCCCTCCGGGCCATTCCAATTTCTCGTCATAAGAAAAAAACGCGAGATGATTTGATATTTTTGATTCCTTTCGGTCGGAGGGAAGAAAATAAAAATCATTGGCCACTTATTGGTTTCCCGCGCTTTTGGTGTTTTCACGATTTGTTTCGATGTTCGAATTCGCTTGCCCTCACCGTAAGAAACCGCGTGGGGATGTGTATATAGTAACTCGAGGGAAACTTCCTGCTACCGAGGTTTGTCCTATTGGGTACTGCCGCTGTTGTCCGGAATCTGAATTTTACCTCACTTTTTTTTTTCTTACAAAAAATTAATAAATAATTGCGATTTATGTAAAGAAAAGTAATGTGGCAGTGCTGAATGGGTTCATAGATGACTAGGCAAAGTTCATGTCTTTTTCTGGCTTCTAACAATCAGCTTAGAGATGAATTCCTTGAGATAGTCGCAGCGGCAGCGGTGATAGTCGATCAAGAGGCAGAGCTGCCTTATGGCTTCCCGCTTCTCTTCTTGAAGACCCAACAGTGTCTCATCCTTGTCTTTCATAATCTTCTCCAATTCTCCCACTCTGTTCTCAAGCCCACTCACTGCTTTCATCAGGTTCAGCTTTTCTTCTCCTTGCTCTCTCAACTTAGCCTCCAGCGACTCCTCTTTTTCCTTATTCAGTTCCGCTACCACTAAATCCACATTGCTTTTCAGCTGTTTGCAGTCGTCTGCAGAAACAAGGTCGCCGGTGACATTTGAGATGCGGGTGAGGGAATTCCCTTCGTCTTCTAGCTCAATCACTGCTGAAGTCAAATCAGACAATGCAGTTTTTCCTGGCTCCGTTGTATCCCTCAACTTCCTGAACTCAGTTTCATAATTTGCAAGCTTTTCTTCAAGTGCCCCATTCTCTTGCTCTAGCCTTTCTTTTATTATCTTGTGAGTCTCTTTGTTCTCAAAATGTATTTTTTCTGCAACCTTGATCCTCTGGTACAAAAGACGGATGTTGTCTTCAACTTTCTTGCGGAACTCTTCTGCTAACTCCTCAATCTTTCTTTCTAGGACTTGGGAATTTAACGTGGATCCTGACGACCACCTTCTGACCACCTTAGAGTTAGACTCCTCCATAGATTTGTTTATGGCTTCCTCTCTTTCTTTCGTGATTCTCTGTTGATCAGCAATCTGCAACTCCAACTGGCTTTTCTCCATCTTCAGGGAATCCAACTTCTGTTGCAGAAGTTCAACCTCCGCATTCAAGGTCCTTATCTGAGCATTAACTTTAATGTTTATACTTTTGCTATCCTCCTGAACAGCAGAAAGCTCAAGGCCTCTCTCTCGAAATAGTGTTTCCAATTCTAGAATTCTAGCCAGCAGGTTACCCTTTTCCTCTCTCAATTGATTGATTTCACGGATATTACTCCTCACTTCATCTTCTGATATATTTTTCTGCTTGCGTAGAGTGTGCACCTCTGATTCCAAGTTCATCACCTGCACCTGTAAGCCTTCTTTTTCCTCTATAGTTTTCTGCTGAACAGCACTCTTTCTTACTAATTCCTCTTTCAAGGATTTCACTTGAATCAGATACTGGGAGATTTCTTTGGATTTCGTCTCTAGCAGAATTTCTGATTCAGTTTTCTGGCTGCGTAGGGAATCCAATTCCTCCCTCATTACATTTTCCTGATCAAATGATTCACTACTTTTGCATGCTATACTTCCTTCGGCTTCACATTTTTGGGCACGTAAATAGTCCACCTCCTTTTTCAGATTGCTGACCTGTGCCATTGAATCCTCAATTTTAGACATTAAATTGTTCTCATTGTCCATGATTTGCTCCATGAGTTTAGTTACTGCATCTCCTTCCTCCTTTGGTATCAATTCGAATTCCGAATACAGTGCCTTATTTGTCTTTCCTTGCTGTTTAGCTTCAGCTGTCTTACCATCAAGCTGATCTTCCAAATCTCTTTTCTGGTGGTGCAGAGATTCCAGCTCTGTTTTCAAGCCGGTTAACTGCTCCTCTAGCTCTGTTACCCGTCCCTGATGCACCTTTCCAAGAGCAGAAAGTCTCTTTTCTTTCTCATCCACTTCTTTTCTCAAATCTCTGTTGATGGTTTCTATTTCTTGTATTTTACTTAAAGCTGCCAGATGGTCTGAAGCTAAAGCTTCCTTCTCTTCGGTCTTAGAGGCCAATTGATTCTTCAAGTTAGCAACTTCTACATTTGCCCTTTCAAGTTCTTCCTTGGTGTTGTCTGCCATCCTTCTATGGGAACTTCGATTATTATTAAATTCTAAGTTGGAGTTCATTTCTATATCCTCAGAGGAATAATATTCTGAATCCGAGCTGGAGGCATAATAAGAACAACTTTCATTTACTTTTCCATCGTCAGCTTTCTTACTTGACTCTCGTCTAAGCTGATCATACTGGGCATAGAGTGACTGGTACTGTTTGTGAAAGTCCTCAACGAGTCCGACAAGTTCTGGCTCTTTTTTCACTCTGTTTCTCCTCTTAATGAGCTTCAAAATTCTTTCCACCCTCTTTTCAACATCTGCAAGAAACAGGGAACTTCCGAATCTGATACACAAACATCAAATGAAGTGGCTATAGAAGAAACTGTTAAAACTCTCATATTGACTTGGTAAAAAGCCCTTCAGATCTTCAAGCACAAAATAATTACAACGACGAAACACAAATCAGGAAAGTCGACAAAGCAATCAACGCTAAACAATGACAGCTACCGAAGGTAATCAAAGAATTACTCATTAAGCTGACAGTCGTAACCTACAAAATAGGAAGCAATTACAAGGCACTGTTAACTTTTTTCTCTACAGGACAGGTATGACTATGACCAGATCCTGGAACCTTGCTTTTGCAGAAGCATAAACATGGTGAAAACCTTATTGTTAAAAGAATTCCTCATTTGGATATTGACAGTTATTTTCAACCATAGTTCATCGATGTATCCACCTCCTTGAGGATGACAATAGGGGATTTTGTTTTCTTTGCAAAAAGGAAAATGCACATAACTATGTAAACACCCATCCATTAAGATTTACAAAATGAAGAAGCAAACCATACTAAAATTAGGGAAGAGTGTGCATTCCAAATGAAAAGCCTATAGGCCACCGATAAAACTCACTGAGATCATACATTAAAAGTTGCCATCCATTTGATAGCAGAAACTTTAGATATACACCGCAAATTAGGAAGGAAAAGCCTTCATAATGATAGTCATGCTCTCTTTGATTCTCTACTAATATCAGAAGAGGATAAAAGGAGGGTACCCAGGGAAGATATCAGCAAGGTGCAAAATTTGATTGTACAGCAAAATAAAGTGCATTGTTTTGGATTCCATTAGTTCTTAGGGATTACAAACCTGTTTTTGTCCCTTCCACTTGCTCCATCGTTTTGAGTATCAGAATTCAGGAGAACCGTTAGAGTTCTTTGTCAGTCTTTACTGCTTCATCATCTCCAATATGAAATTTGCAGCAAATTTAACGAATGAATGCCCAATAAAATGGGGGAAAAAAGAAAAAGGCATTTTCCATCTCAAGTAAACAAACTAAATATCTGAAAATAAGGTGACAATAACATTAATAAAATTATGTTGACATTGCCACATTCAAACGTAGTAAAGTCCTAAGCTTAAGCATATCCCTGAAAACAGTTTAGGCGGTCATTGCAACTCTTACAGCTTCTCCCATTTGACCAACACAAAAATTGCTTGCACCAAAGACAAGGTAACAATAGAAGTAAAATTACTTCCTTTGCAGAGTGAAGAAAAACAAAGACCGTTATAATGTCCACTCGAAAATTGTTACATCAGACATTCATCCAAACTGCTCAAAACTTTCAAAGTCTTGCAATAATTTGGTTTTTGAAAAACATGCCATGAGGCATGCCTGTCAAATCTTCAACGTGCTTTCTTGACCTATGTACATTAAGAATTCATTAATGACAGTTCTATTACCTAGTCAAAACTTAATAGCAGATGCTTAACCACCCACTTTGGAATTTTATCCTAAATCAGAGTCTTCAATACTAATAGCCCTAGGCAACAAAGAAAAACACACATCATAACAATATATGGTTGTAATAGGTACATAACCTGCTGTAAGTGCTTCTAACAGATAACCTCTTGTTATGGAAACCCAGCTACCAAAAGAAGAAAACTTCTTTCTAAGCCCTGAACACATTCAAACATATAGGAATCTTCCTTCAACAGGGTAATCAAAGCTAACATATATGCATAGCTTTATATGATTTTGATGATTTGGCCCACCAGAAAAAGAGTGGTGGTCCATTAATAAATCCAGATTTCCAACGATTGGGTGATCAGTGATGGTGCATAAGGATTGAGATGTCATCTTCAAATGGAAAGAACAGCCCACCAGTTTCATGACAACTTTGAATCTCAAATTCAAGCATCTTTTTTCGACGTCCCCTTTTTTTACAAACTTTTACCAGCTAACATCTAGTCCATTGCCACCCCGGGCCTAGCAATCCTAATCACGTGGTTAAAGGGTTTTTAATTAGAAATTTTGAATTAAAGTATGTTACGTAAGAAATGACATTTGCTGAAAGCTACTTAAAATGTTGTAGATTCAAATCAGAATCCAGTTCAACAAGAATTTTAAATTCATCAAGAATTAGAGAATGAAATATAATTGACAATAAATACAGGATCAGTTTTCTGGGAAATTCGAATTGTAGTTAACATATTGACTCTTATGTTAAACTAATTTAAATGGAGATATTTAGTTTTTCTAATGAAAAACTGAGATTACATTGAATAAATTTTCATTTTCTATTGCATTTTCTTGACAACCAAACAAGGATAAAAGATTTTTTTTTAACAGAAAAATTACATTGAAATTGAATATTACCTGGAAATTGAAGGCGAATATTCTCTCTGCCGATCAGAATGCGATGAGAAGAGATAAAATAATTGCAAATTGGGAGACATTTTCAGGAGGAAAAAAAAAAAGGAAATTATTAAATTGACGCTCCCTTTTTTGTAATTTACGGTGTTTGTCTTGGTCTGGTCCTGGAGAGAAGGAAATTTTGGCGCTTCTTTCGATACAATCGCCCTTTGATTTCGGTTACTATTGCACTCAAAATCATTGAATTTTAGCCAAGGCGGCAGAAACCTTATTATCTCGGGTGGCGGAAAAACGCGATAATTTCATCTGTCTAAAAATATAAGTTTCAACGTGATGCCACGTGGGTGATGTCCCGCGCTTTGTCTTTTGTCTTGTCCTGATCTTCATGCGTTCGGAGTTTCGATTAGTTTTCTGCACTCACCACCTTGTTCTCTAATCATTTCCAGAGAAAATTGCTAAGGACAGAACACATTTGAAAACAGTTTGGCATAATCTTTTCTTTTATTTTTTTTTCCCATTTGGAAGTCTTAAACCTTGTTACCAAATCCAACAAAATTATAATTTCTTTTATTTTTTAAAATTTATATTATTACATCAAGTACCTCCAAAAGAGAAACAAGATAATAAATGAAAAAATGTATTACTTGATTAGATAAAAAATATCAGGTTAAACGGTTCAAAAAAAAATAAATTTGATATAAGAGATTTTTAAAAAATTATATAAATATAAATATTATATATTTTATTAAGTTAATTTTTTAAAAGAAAATAATGATATGCAACAAATGATAATATACAACGTGAATTTAAGCTGTGTAAATTAAATGACATGAGTGAATTCAATTGTAAATTTTGCATGTAAAGAAATGATAATCAAATCCAATTAAAGATCTGTTTGTTCTGCAGTAAAATATATTTTGAAAAACATTTTTAAAATTTATATTTATTTGAAAGATAAAAAATTAATTAAATATGTAAACCATTTTACAAGGTAATAAGATTAATTATGCAAAATATCTTACGCTCTTAAAGGGTGTAAGATATTTTTTCAGAGAATAACAATAATATTTTTACACTAAGTTTATGAGTATAAATTTGATAAATATTAATATTTAACTTAAAATAATTTAAAAAATAAAAATATTTAATTTAAAAATTAATTTAAAATATTAATATTTAAATTATACAATACTATTAAAATTAAAATATATATATTTTTAATGAAAGCATTCAATGTAATTAAATTTTGTATTTATAAATAGAATAAATCTTACTAATAATTATAATAAAAAATATTTCAATGATCATTATTTAATAAATACAAATTTATAAGAGGTTTAAATCGTATTGATAATTATAATAAAAAATATTTTAATGATCATCATTTAATGAAAACATATTTACAAGTATAGATTTTGGATATCTTACCCAATGGATGATTATTTATATTTTTATAATTATGATAAAAAAGTTATAAGATGAAATTTTTTTAAAAAAATTAAAATTTATTTTTATTATAAATATGTGATTAAATATTTTAAAAAATATCATTATTGATATTATTTATTTTTATTTTTATTCTTAATTTTGATTTCAAATTAATAAAAATTAAATATCAATATTATTTTATAATTAACTCTTATTTATTAGTTCAATACTTAAATAACTCTACCATGATAGATAATATTTTTTATAAAATGATTCAAATAAAAAAAATATTTTTAATTATTTATCAAATAATAAAAATAAATTTTTTTATATAACATTTTATATAAAAAACGTTTTTTTAAATAAATATTTTTCGAGTATCAAACGGACTTAAAGCGTAGAAAACGTTAATGTTGGCAGCGGCTACGGGTACGGAAGTTCACATAACTACCGCGTAGCTTATGCTTTCCGCTATCCCGTACATGGTGGCAATTGGCCGGTTTCGAAGGTAGGCCTGCAAAAAACCTGTACGGGAAGAAGAAAAATTGAAGCAATATTCATGGTTAACAAGGAGCCTAAAGTAAGAGCGTAGAGACAACATGGAAATGTGGAGCCCAACTCCAATGACGTTTCCACCAGTTGTGTTCCAATTTCCATGTGCCAATCCCTGGAAACTATGTACCTGCCTGAAAACTGTAAAGGGTAGGCTACACCGCAAGTCTACATTAATATTTCCAAATCAAACAACGATCTAATTAAAAGTCAAACTAAAAGCGGCTCTGGGACAAATAGGAACCAAATTTGGGCTCGTTTGCGCGAAATTAATTTGACTTTTGACGTTTGAACTCAATTTGCTTTTGTAGTTGTGAAGGAGTCCAGTACGGTGATACCATGTTAGAATTTGACTGGGCATTCGTAAAGGTTCTGCCGCGCCGCCCCAGTCCCAGTGAAAGAAAGAATATACTAAAAATATGTTGAATTTCCCTAGGCCTTGCTGGACTGTAGTTTAGGTGATCCAACAAAAGGTTGGCAGCACGGGATCACAAAAGTTTGCTGGCTATGGGGTTCGAACCCATGCGTACTTATGTACAGAAGATCTTAAGTCTTCCCCCTTAACCTCTCGGGCAAACCAGCTTCGACACCACGCTGTCGTCTCAAGTCAGCTCATACCTAAACTTAATAGGAACTATAGAGTATGAACAAGCTACGGACTACTCTTAAAGGATCAATCGAGGTTATTATGCCAGATCCGGAATGGATTGTGGGTTTCAAATTTTTTTTTTACAGGAGGAGAGAGAGAGGTGTTGGTGAGGGATTTCATGGTATGACGATTGACAAGCACTAGGACTAATGACTCCAAACTATACCACATTGGAATGTTCTACAGACATGAATTTGCATAACAGCTTTAAGTTTAAGAGTCATCTTCGATAAGGTAAAATTCGCAATCAAAATTTGCTAACCACAAGGGAAATCCATAAAGAATGCTAACTCATCTATGATATAGTGCTGTTTGCTAACAGGCTCCAGAGACTTGTCCCTTTAAAGCTTGTTTTTAACACAAACACTGCTGAACTGAATCCATACATAAAAGAATTAGGCAGCTAAGTTGGCACTAGTATTTACTTTGGAAGTACAAAAAAGGTTCAATACAGATATGCTCCTAGTCGTCATCAGAAGAGATCTTCTGTTTTTTCCACTTGTAAGCAGCTTCTAAAATCTTGAGATTCGTGGTCTGGTTTTCTTCTGGGAACAGATAATCAATGTATTCCTCATACCTGCCAAGCCAAATAATTCAGAATTTAGTATCCAAGGAAAACACATATATACTAACATTGTAAATGCATCTGTTCGATGAAGACTACTTCTGTTTAAGTGAGGTTTGACGCATAGTCCTGTTTTTTTCTTTTGGCCGGAGTTTGATGCAGGGTCTTCAAACTTATGAAATTGAAAAAGAACATAACGAATGGAAATGTAGGAACCAAAACTGGCCAATAGGGCACACAAGCAGACAGACCCTCTAAGGTGGTAGACAGAAGACCTCTATGAGGATTAAGAAACAACTCGGAAAAAGAGCCAACAATTTAGGGAGCTTTGGAACATAAGAACTATGTTGACTTGTATGCCCAATGGGTTTAGCCTCAGAGTCCCTAATTGCTTGGTTCAAAAAAAACAACTGAAGCTACAGCAAGACTACTACATCATGGATCCAAGAAACTGGCAGAAGCAAAGTAAATGATAAGTTACATACCCGGCCACACCACTGTCTTCACTTGCAATTTGCTTCCTCTTTTTGAGTTTCTTTGGCAACTTAGACTGGACTAGGCTAATGTTGCCAAGCTGACCAAAACTGCTTTCCATGTTAAACCACTCTTCCAAGAGCATAGCACGTTCTTCTTTCAATTCAGGTGCTGATGTTCTATAGTAGTTAATTGCTCTCTCAAAGACTCCTGGTAAACAATAACAGGTAAGAATTTGTTCCACTCATAAATGATTAAAGTAGATGTATAGCAGCAAAATATGGACAGGTCTAAACTCACTTCTTGCATGCTGAATGCATTCCTTCTTTTCTTCCTGGACCCCATCTCGTGGCGAGTCTGAACCACCATTATTCTCCTCCATTGCAGAGGCTTCAAACTTTGCATAACTAATCCACACCTTCAAGTGCTTTGTACGATCCAAAAGCCTCTCATACAATCCTCTGGTTCGTTCATACTCACCTTCCGAAATTTCAAAATCAATGTATGCCTGTCATCAAAGAATGAGCATTACCACAATTTTCTATAATACCATTATAAATGATTTCTTGAAAAAACAACAACTATCAGCCCAGAAGGAAAATAAGGAAAACTGGAGAAATTGCTCTTAGAGACCTCCACACTATCCCAATTTTTAGTACCTTAATGTATACATCTCCTAGCAAACATGCAACTCTTTTTAAAGTGAAGTTCCATGAAAAAATCATAAGTCATGTTACTATAAAAAACTTAATCATGAGATGAGAAACTTTATTAAACATCATGAATGAAGCAACAAGACAAAATTATCAAGCCTGACATACAGAAATGGTAATTAAGTAAATGCCCCCCACCCCCCTCTCCCACCCAGCACTTCTTTCTAATGGTTTCTGCCTTGACTATAAAAAAAGCATAGCTATAATCACAAAGACAAACATCACAAGACAGTCATTATAGGGTAAATACCTTCCACAACAACTCTGGCATGTCCAAAGCTGGCTGTGTAATGGCAAGCTCAAAAATAGCTCTTGCCCGGTCTGTTTCAGACAACGATCTTTCTAACTCAGCATATTTGCTCCACGCATAGCAGTTCTCAGGTGCCCACTCTAGATACTTCTCGTACAATTTTCGGCAACGATCAATATTGCCAAGTTGCAGCTCGATCTCAATATACTTCTTAAAGATCTGAATGTTAAGAAAATGTTAAGAAAACAACATAATGTAAAAACTTATTGTAGTCAAATTTATAAAACTTTTAGCATCAGGCTAGACATCTACCTTATCCTTAGGTGCCTTTCCAATAGCATTTCCTAAAATTTGTCGAGCACCCTTGAGATTAAGTTGTCTTATCTCAAACTGCGCAGCAAGAAGCCAGATCTTTGCAAAAGAGAACTTCTCATGGGGAATAAGCTTAAGGCACTCCCTGGAAAAATTTAAGTGAATGAGGTACTTTTCAAAGCCTATAATAATCACACATCCGAATGATTTTTAAAACTGAAAAGATGAGGAATAGATAAGATAAACCAGAAGAGATGAGCATTCTAAACTTAACGCATGTCAATAAAATGTTTTTGTTTCCTTTTAAACAATGTCATTTCTCATACTGTTTTGGATATAAAGAACTGTCAATAAGATAAACCAGAAGAGATGAACCCACGCAAAGAAAGGAAACAGGGAACAGAAAGACAGGCATGGAAAGACTGAAGGTGCTGATGCAACAAAGAAACAGAATGGTCATCGAGAAAAAGGGTGGAACAAAGACAATTGCAATCAATCTTAGGTAAGTTACTTTGTAGTTGGTAGCAGGTTATGTCTGAGATTTTCCTCTTTCTTTTTCCCTTTTTATCAGCTTGCTTCCTGAGCATAGCTAAGATTTCACCACAAAGGGCAAGGATTTAGGTGAACATGTAAGACATGAACCAACATACTCAAACATTCTAATAGTTAGCAAGTTTCTTGCAGTGTTAATTGGCATGATTTATGTGTGAAGCAATGATTTCACTTACAATTTAGCAACGGTCGCAACCAACAGAATCATAAATCCATTGCAAGAAAAATTAAGCATACCTATACACATCTCGCGTGCGCTCCGTATCTCCAGCATCAAGTTCCTCGTATAAAGCATAATTAATCCTAGTTTACACGTAATCCATAAGTCAGTCACACAGTTCAGAATGAAAAAATATAAGCATTGCACGATTAGGCACACAAAAACTCACCACAAGTAAATATATCTCTGCCAATATCGCTTCTCCTCAGCTGGGGGAACATTAGCTATAGCCCTCTCATAAACCTCCCTAATCCTCTCCTTACTCCCGACACTCTCTTCCAACCTTATATAATCGAACCAAGTGTCATAATTCATCGGATTCTTCCTCACTTCATCCTCATATTGAAACCTCCTCTTCCCTACAATGGCATCCTCAATCCCTTCCTTATCTCCATATTGTTTCTCAAAAGCCACAAACTTTCTATACAAATCCTCTGCCCTCCCTTTCGGTATATGATCAAGAGCAAACTTGTAAATACAACGAGCTCGTTCTGTTTCCTTACACCGTTCCTCAAACTCAGCAAAGGCAACGAATAACTGCTCCGCATCTTCTTCATCAGCCAGCTTCTCCACCGCCCGCTCGTACACATTCCTTGCCCGCACAATTTCCCCGTTCTTCATTTCAAATTTGGCGTATTTAATCCATGCTCCGACTTTGGGGTGACACTGAACGAACCGTTCGTAAATTGCACGAGCGCGTTCAACTTCGTTGTAGCGAAGCTCGAACTTGATGTAAGAAAGCCAGCCTTGTTGGTCCGGCATCCACGACATCCAGCGTTCGAAAATCTGACGAGCTCCGGCGACGTTCCCTAACATCTCCTCCATGTGGATGTACTTGTACCAGAGCTGATCCACGCGTGGCAGGAGAGTGACGGCACGGTCCCAAACATTCCTTGCGTGGTTGATGAATTTGTTCTTCATCTCCACTTCGGCATATTTGAGCCATAAAGTGTGGTTTCGGTAGTCGACTTCCAGAGCGCGCTCCCACACGCTCCGTGCTCGATCGAAGTCTTTCTGAGACTCCTCCCATTGGGCATACTTAATCCAGACACTGACGTTCCACCGCACACGGCGAATTAAGTCTTCGAATTCCTTGCGTTTGCGGAGGCGATAGTCGGCGAGTTCTGTTGAGTCAGTAATCTTTTGCTTTGGTGGTCGGATTTCTGCTTCTTGCCGTTCCCGAGCTTCTCGGAGGATTTGTTCGGCAGTAATCTGAATGGGAGCTGGAGTTTTGTTCTTGACTCGAGTGGGGCGAGGGAGTTTGACCTCGGTATCTTTCCGGGTCAAGTACCCTAGTGAAGGATCCGCATCTTTGGATGCCATGACTAATTAATGAGAATGAAGGGCAAGGGGATTTCTCGCTGAAGAAGGAAAAATACAGCAGTACGCCGGATTGAGGATTTCCGACTCTAAAGCACCAAAACCCCAAAACGATTCACCAAAACTTTAACCCGAAAAATCCACAAAAAAAATCTACCAGAAAACCAAATGATAGGGCAAACGAAGTATAGAGAGAGAAGATCGGGTAGAGTGAAGGATAGAGAGTTTTCGAAGAGGAAGAGAGAGACAGAAAAGGAAGAAGAGAATAAATCGGTCCAAAAGGAAGAAGAGAGAGAGAATTAAATAGGGTCACCAGTAGCAGACAACTGCAGTCCGAAACGATGGTTAGGAAAAAAAAGGTCGAGACAGAGAGAGACGCAGTGAACCAGAAGATAACAAAGGAAAAAGGAAAGAACTTGAGAATTTAGGGTTTTCTCTAGATTTTATAGTAAAATTCTAACGACACCGTTTTCTTCAGTAGGAAGCTCTTTCTAACCCTAGTCGGGGCCCAACCCGAGTTCTTAGGAGCCAGGCCCGACCTAATTAAAAGGCCTTATTTTTCACTTGAGACTTGAGGTATATTTCTTCTCATGACCAAAAACTATTTTTATCATGGGATTAATTTAATTTAAATCATCAAATGAAAGATTAACGATTTAAGTTAGACAATGGTAAAAAGAAGAATACACAAAAGAATTAGAGAAATTATAGGAAAAAATGGAAAAAGAAAAGGATTTCTTCACATAATCAATTTGAATTTTAACAATAAAAAAATAAAACTTTAAATGATATACCATAAATTATTATAATAAACAAATATAATGATAAACATATATTTAAAATAATTAAGGCTATTATAAAAGAAAAAGAAAAAAATAATGTAGAAGTAAAAATTATCTTTGTTATCTGTAACATACATTTTTAACAAAAATTTATAAATGTTATACTTCTTTTTATGTCTTTCATAGTAAATGTTTTCTAAAATATTAGAATTTAAAATAAATTAAAGAATCATACATTTTATCAAATTATTTATAATTTTAAAAAAATACAACACTTACAACATAACACAACAAGCCAACAACAACAATTTAATTGCAATGTTTTAACATTAACTCAGTAATTTTTATTACATGAATATTAATTAATGATAATAAAACAGAATAATCCTCTCACCAATGCACTACTAAGTTGTTGTCTACATGATTAATCATACTTTATGAAATTGTAGTAGTAAATGTGTTGTTTATAAGTTAAAGTTTAAGCTCCGAGACCTAAAACAAGTTAAAGTTTTGAACTTAAAAGGCAATACTTTTTTTTTTTAAGATTAAAGTCATTTTCATTAAAGCAGGGTGAAATCCCCTATATACACAAAAAAGAGGAAACCTAGCTAGGAAAACTTGGTTCAAGTGCCCTTCCAGAAGCTTAGCATACAAAAATGCCAGTTGAAGTCAAAATACTATACAGCTACAAAATATTAACATTAGTCAGATTCAAAAAAATTACAATTATCCTCAAACAGTCAAAAAAGACGAAAAGATGATTATTTGGGATGTTTCTCTCTCTTACAAATCCATACATAAGCAGAACAATCCAATAAAGCTGATAGGCCTTATCATGTAAAAAGAAGCTGCACCAACAACATAAAAGTAAACTGAATTCAACATAATCAAAAGCATGCTCAATCACTCAGGCGGTTATGGGTACACACAGAGCAGATCATGGGCTCTATCAATCCCTGATATGGCAAGGTTAACGGGTACCACATTACTTGTCCTAGGAGTGTATTTTATCTTTCAGCTAACAACTCTGTTTTTAGGGAAAATAGTTTGAAGGATGAGTTGTCGTAGCTTTCATAGGGTTTTCTCAAGATGTGTCATCCACAATACCACATTCTTAGAGTTAGATTCAATGATAATACCGGCAGAGTTCACCCATGAGGAGGCAGTAAATTTAACCATAGCCTCTCTGACTGTAAGGATTTCGACAAGGTTAGCATATCCTCGACCTGCTTTCTTCGAAAAGGTCATCTTGACAGTCCCTTTGTTATCTCGTAAAACTCCTCCAATTCCAACATGGCTTAGACATCCTCTGGCAGCCCCATCGGTATTAAATTTGAACCAACCTACAGGTGAACATTCCCAAAATACCATGCTCTTAACATTTTTCTTTGAGGTAGGAGTGGAAGCCAAAAAAGGAATAGTAGCAATATCAGAAACAATGTTGTCGCATGGCCATTGGGACTTGACCCACCATGCCACTCTCAACTTAACAATATCCAGCACTTACATCAAATCCCACATTTTTCCATCAAAGATCATGTCATTTCTATAAAAGCAGATGGACCAAACAATGATAAAGAATGACATCCTCATAATGAGAATTCCAAGCTTTAAAAAATGAAATAGGATCCATTGACATACAAGTAGTGGTTTGCCATTCATGACACCACAAGCACCACAGCTTCCAAGATTCAATGCAAGAGAAGAAAAGATAGGTGACTGATTCCATTTCGTTGTAACAAAACACATAATTAGCGACCTCATAATGTAAGAGATTTTTGTTAACAAGTTTCTCCTTAAAGGCGATACTACTTCTAATATCAATGAATATATATTGCTTATATATGTTAACAATAAAGCCTTGACAACTTAGTTGAATTTATGTCACAAATTAAGTGACATCAACTTAATTAGAGAATTGATAAAAAAATAAACTATAAAATAAAAATATATATTAATAAGATCATAATAATAATTTTTTTCTAATATTAAAACATGTGTGTAGGTTCATTTATTGGAATTTTTCCCTCATTTTACACTTTAAGATAATTATAAAGTTTTTTCTTTTTTGTTCTTATTTTAGTATTTACCTTAACAAGTTATATATCAATCTTATCCATATAAAAATTGTGCATAGGACTCATTTATTCCAGGGTGGAAGTGTTTATGGTCTTTGCACAAATCGATTAATTAAAAAAATTAATTAATTATTAAAATATTTAAGAATTAAATTAAAAAATTTATTTAATAATATTAAATCTGATCGGAATTTAAATGTCATATCAAAAGGACCGAAACCTGAGCAGGTGGGCAGGTCTACTCCAGGGTCCTGGCACGCTCCAGCCCGCACCAAACACCAAAAGGACAAGAAGGAAACTGTGACCCCGACGCGTGATCTGAGTCCCTAACACGAACAAGCCACCGTCCACCTGCAGGATTTTCATTAATCACTTTTTTCTTTTTTTTTTTAAACACTATATTTACCTTTAGCGTCTCTAGGACTAGAAGTCTTTCCAAATCCCAGTTTCCGCACGACGCCTTTCCTAATTTTCTGTGTCACATACAAAAAATGGCAAATGGGGGTGCTGATACAGCAGATTTGGGAGAAAATGAATATGACAATATCAGCAATTGGAGCATCTCCAAACTGATTTCTTCCCTCAAATCCGCTTTTCGTCCCACGGTCTTCTCAAAAGCGGAGGCTGTCCTAGTGGCGAGGGAAGACAAATCAAAGCGGGAGATCGAGGCACTGAAACAGGAAAAGGATTTGTTTTTCTACAAATCCGAAGAAGAGAGATTGGAGAAAATGAGTTTCGAAAGCGAGCTCAAAAAGTGCAAGAAAGAGTGCGAGGAAATGAGGAATGCGGTGTCTAAGTTGCGGGAAGAGAACATGGTATTAAGGAAGAGAGAGAAGAGTGCAGAGGAAAGATGCAAGAAGTTGTTGGAGGAAGTGAAGAGAATCGGAGAGAAAGACAAGGAAATGATTGATTTAAGGAGCAGGAATTGCGAGCTTGAATGTGAGAAGGCGAAGGCTGAAAATGAGATGGAAATATTGAGGAAGAGATTTGAGGAGTTGGACAAGAGGGTATCGAGTTTGGAGAGTGATTTACGGTTTTTGAGTAATCAAGAAGATTTGAAGGATAATGAGATTGGAGGAGAAAGCAGGAGCTTGAAAAACGTGGGGGTAAAATTTGATGTGAAGGTGGAAGAAGTCTCTTTTGGTCCAAGTTGTGATTCTCCTGTCAAAGCTAATGGGAATCCACAAAATGCAGGTAAAAGTTACAAGCTGCTTGAACAAATTTTAAATTTATATTGCATTTTGATTCGTTAATTTGTTTGGATAGTTTGAGTTTTAGTTATGTTAAGAACTTCGATTTTGTTCTTTTATGTTCATCAACACTGTGGGCACAAAAAGAGTATTTATTATTTCATTTTAAGTGTTGTGTATATGCAAGGTGAATTCTTTTTTGGTGTATTTGGATTAGTATTGTCAGTATGTTGATATATCATCAGAGGCTTGTATGTCCAGCATAAAAACCTCCTTTTTATCGGGGAATATTATTTTGTTACGTTGTTTGAATTGGTGTCTTCAAGTTTTGAATAGATGATAAATTCATTAGATTTCCAAGTGTTTTAGAACCAAATCTAGGAGCTTATGCTAAATATATGACTATGAGCTGTGTTTACGTCTTACTGGTACTTGTAAAGTTCAATTTTGTCCCTTTCAACATCTGCCAGTGAAATATTATTGATAATATCTTGGTAAAAACTTGCATGCCAGGGAGTGAGAGACCTCCATCTCAAAGCATTATTCAGATTGTTGATAGTGATGATGAATGTGCACCAGTTGAAACTCTGAGTGAAAAAGGAATGGCTTTGCTATGTCCTGCTGACAACTCACATGCAGATCGGATTGGTGTACAAAATGGGAGCCCAACTCTCAAAAGAAAACGAACTTCATGTATAATTGTACGTGAGAATGAAAATGGCGATAATGATGATAACTCATTGACTGGATCAGTGAAGATGAAAAAATGTGAAGAGCCAGTTTGCAAGCCTGATGATTGTCCTCTTAATCCTTGCTCAAAAGCAACTATCACTTCTGATAGTAATGAGGTTGACAAAGGTTTTAGCACACCAAGGGAGGATTTTATGGTTTCAAGGCAATGTGAACAGCAAATGGAGTCTGAGCAGAAGTCTCAGAATCTTATGAATGGGTTTCCTTTGGATGGGCTTGGTTTCATGGAGGAGAGTTCCTGTTCCTCTGACTCTGACTCTGATGATGACAATGATGGTGTGCATATTTTCTTTAACAATTCTCAGCTTGCACCAGAGGCTCGGAGGGAAAACAGAAATTAGCCAGAGGAATTGGATGGCTAGTTTCTGTTTTAGATGGGAAAAACCGAAAAAAGCCTTTGTCAAACTGTGCCAATGGACGATTTTATCTTTGATGTGCGCAGGTATCACATACAGAAGCTTTCTTCATAACCCTGCCTTTTTATCTTTTTGTTCATTGACTGTAAAGGTGAAGATGAGATAGTTTCAATTAATATCTTGAAAGATAGGTTCTCATAAAATATAGTTACATGCATTAGAAATATTGTAAAGGAAAAGAGAGAAGTGGAGTGGGGTTGTTTAGAGAAGAGGGAGATGGAGAGAAACGGGAAACAGGAGGGAAGGGGAGAATGGCAGTTGTTGAGTTTTTCTAACATTAAGTTTGACAAACCAAATGTTGCTTTGTAATTTGTGCACTCTGCTCTATGATAACATGATACAAGTATATTTCCTTTTAGCATTGAAAAGAAAATTGCTTTCTGTAAGTTGTATAAATTTGTTGTTAGCTTTCCTTACAATTATGCTACCATAACGTTTCATGCACATTGGCTTCAGGGGTATTACTCTGGCCAAGATTCGCATAGACGGGGATCCAGAGGGAAGCTGAAGAAATACACCTGGGAATTACTGGAGTTAAGATTGAGAGGTCTTGATCATAATAAAGAACTAGCTATTCAGCACTGTAAGCAATTATTTGAGATAGACCGAAAGAAAAAGGATCCTTTTGGTTATAATTGTCGACTGAACGCACCAATATTGTTCCTACCCGAAGTCGTTACTGATATGGCGACAGCAAACTGTCGAAGAGGATAGGACTTTTTATTTTGTGTCTCTCTCCCTGCTTTTAAACAAGTCTCAAACCTTTTCCTCAGGTCTTACTGTAGATAGTCACATGTTTTAGAAGACACAAGCAACATTGTTTATAGCTGCTATTATGCTGGTATATCTACATGCCTTGCCTTTCCAGTATCTTCAGTGTAGAATTAAGCAGGTCTCTGCAATTTTGGGGAAAAGAGCAGGATAGGCCTTGCCTTTCACTTTTCCCCTTTAGATTTTTTGCTCTCAGCTACGAGATTGAAGGGGAGGTGGGTGGTTAGTGCCCATCTTAAATACCCAAGAAAAGGAAAGATAGTCTATGACAGTATTGACTTGATGCTTGCATCTTGCAAATCTTCGAGATGCCTAATAAATACAGCAGCATGTAAACATTGAAATTTATTCCTTCATGGATCTTGTTTTAGCTTGTGTATGGTAAACCATGATATAGCTTGAACATTTATTATACGTTATTTTTTTTATAATTGAGAAAAGAAAAATTCGGATTTTATTTTTTTATAAAAAAATTATGCATGAATCAATGATTTTAATGTCCGGGTGCATTATACGTCTTAGTTTGTAAGTGTGACTCTGCTTTATTTTCAATCCCATTGTCTGCCGGTTCCGGAGGCAGAGGCACTTTTTAGTTGAAAGATGCTGTCTAGCTTGTTAAATCTTACAGTTCTTAGCGAGATTGAGACTTTGGGATGGAATAATATTTTCATGAGAAATTATGGGCTAAGGTCACATCCCCATGCCCTCTCCAGCGAGGGGTCGAGGATGAAAGGTACCTTTGATGTGTAGCTCATTTATTGGAAGTTGAAACCTCCGAAAGAGAAGAAAAGAAAGATAAAAGAAGAAAGGGCAACCTATTCAACTAGCCTATGGGGCTATGGCAGCGAAGGACCGTACGTCATTTAAAGTAGTGGCTGTAGGAGAAATGGTGTTGATGTCACTGTATATGGTTTCTCTTACTTATCTTGTAAAGACTGCATTTATTTATGATTTGAGTGCAAGTCTTTTTTGAAATTGCCCTCTCTATTAATTCAGACTTTCTTTTTATGAAAAAGGGTTGATAAAGGAAGGTTTATCCCTTACTCTTTCAGTTCCTTTTCCTTCTTTCATTGCACGCATTACCGTTCAAAAGCGTGCATTATGTTGATTTGGGATATTGAGATTAGGATGCGCATGGGCCTGCAAGCTTGACGTGGCTTCACTGGTGAGTGGCTGCATGTAGGGATATGTCGGGGCCTCCGGGGCG